CCAAGGTCAAGAGCCACGGAGCCAGAAGACCGTTCGACGATCCTACTTCTTGCTATCCATATTGAAAAAAGAGAAGAAAGGGAAATGAAGACTAGCCAAAAGACCTAAAATATAAAAAATAGCCAGTTTGACGAGTAGTACAAGACTCAACTATAGAGAGAACCTAGCCAATTATCTTATAGAAGGTGCTTCCTTACCTCTACAAGCTTTCAGGAAAGTCAGGACTATTTATTGCCGCATCAAGGAAAGATGAAATATTTTCTGTTAATACTCTATTCCCACATTTTTTGAATCCAAGAAGGAGTTCGATATCCGTCTAAAAAAATAGAAGAGAGAAAGTATAATTCCACATCTATTAGGGGCACTGAGTATATGGTGTAAGTCCTTGCTGTGTTAGCTAGGCCACCTGCCTGAAGCGTTGAAGATAGAAAATTATGGTTGCTTATTGATTGATTCGGCGTAACGAGTGATAGAGATACCTTACGACTCAAGGAGGCTTCAAAGCCAGATCTTCTTCTTTCATATAGAAAGGAGACCCAGTGGCTCAACCAGTAACCAATGGCAAAAACTAAAAAATCCATGGTTTCCCGGTAGAACCCTATTTCGCCCAAGTCGAGGGTAGCCTCCCGCTTGACCGATTTCTCGGAGTCGGAGGAAGATCTCTCATCCGATCATCCTGAACACGAAGGAGAGTTCAACCAAGCCCCTTAACTAATAGATGCTAGTTGGGGGGGCCATCTGCTAAACCCATCCCGTTTAGATGTGGCCATCTAGACAAGTGAAACGGTCCTTGCCGCCTTGCCCTAATGAATGTCTGTTGGAGATGGAGGTATGGCGAAGAGCTTTAGAACTTCCTGAATTCTGTCTGTCACATATGGAATTGTAGTCTTTGGATGAACTACGGCTTCGTGCTGCGGCAAAGATTTCTCTGTATCAGGTACGCATCGCAAGAGCATATGAAACAAAAAAAAGTAAAACGTCTTCTTTTTCCGCCCTCAGTCTGACATGCGGTTTTTTCTCGTCAAACAACAATCAAATCCTGGGAAAAAGGTAGGGTAACATCATGAACATGCGGTAGACTTCTCGGAGGTGCCAGTAAGGCTAAGGCGGCTCTGGCTGCATTTGCCAAATCCGAGGGCTGAGGGGTGCCCACTGGTCTACAGCATATGATGCGGGTTATTGCCCATGCCTTTTTGTTTATAGAGATCGACTAGAAGAGAAAACCACTTATACTGCCTACTCTATTCCTAAAGGAAGAGAATTCATTCCCATTCCTTAGAACAATAAACAGCTTCCATTGAGTCTCTAAATGAAAATGAATGAGTCTCTGAAGCTACCCTCACTCAATGCGAAGAACTCTCCGCCGACAGGCCTTCACGCCCCGACCCTCAGATGTGGGGTTCACTGAGCAAAGGAGTCGGCAGATGTTACATTTTTTTAGACTCCACCTTCGCGAAACTACTAACCTCGCTCTCGTTCCCGTTCCATCCAGATCATCATTCTGGTCAACATATCCAGACTTCCGGCTCGGTGCAGCCTGCTATCATGCGCCTGATGCTCAGAGATGCCATGCTCCGGCTCCGTAACAATGGCTTCAACATCCTAGCCCTCGCTATGAAGGTGAAGTACGGAGTGAAAGAAGTCTTTATCTCTGTACCATCCCTCTACAGACTGACTTGAGATAAAGAAGAAAGAGAAAGACTTTCTGCGACAACCACCCCAAAAAGGGAAGAGCTCCTTCTCAATCCCATTCGTACCATGTCTACTTCTTTACTATGGATCATGTCTTCGGAGGCTGCCAAAGCTCATAAAAAAAAACAAGGTAGTAATAACAAAGATAAAATCAGTGGGCAACTTTTGGTTTGGTATTGCTACCGCGCATGACTTTGAGAGTCATGATGATATTACTGAGGAACGTCTTTATCAGAATATTTTTGCTTCTCACTTCGGTCAATTAGCAATAATTTTTCTGTGGACGCTATTTGCACGACCCCTGTGAAATACATATAGAAACAGTCAGCCGAGGAGCCGAGTGACGTGCCAGCGCTACTAATTGAGTGCCAGCACGTAGTTGTGCTGTCAGTAAGAAGGTAGCCGGCGCCTTTCGAAGCCTAAGCCCTTTCTTTTCTAGTGTGCGCTTGATATCGGTCCTATGAATCTGTTCCCGAGGGTCGAGCTGCGTTAAGCTCTTATTCTCCGATTATGTTAACGCCGTCAACGTGAACTGTCGATGCGGCTTCTGACTATGCTTTCTGCGGTAACTGCTCCTCCCCTTCTCCGTCTTTAAGGCTTTAAGGCGAACCGTATGGCGGCTGGAAGCCGACTCTCGTTCTTTGGACCAACCTATGACTATTTTATTATTTTCAGATGCAACCGGAACAAGATTTTTTGATTCTCTACGGGCAACCAAGCCCGAGTGAGCTTTCTTTTATGCTATCCCAAGAGACTGATACAATTGCATAAGTAGTAAGGAATAGTTTGATAAGAACCAGAGCGGATAGATGGCAAGTAAGACAGTCACAGCAGGGCTATAACCAGCAACCTTCGGTTGATTCATTGAAGTTTAGAGTCAGTGTCTTTCTATCGAATCTGAGTTACCGGCTCTCATTTGAAAGACCGTCCCTATGACATGGTCTTAAAGCATAGTTTGGACTGCCCTAAACTTTAAAGTCTTTAGTTATGGATGCTTACCGGGGGTTGAGAGATCCCTTGTCGCCGACAAAGAAAAGAAGGTAGTACCAATGGGCCCTTAGTCCGCCCCTTATGTAGTACATAGAGGCGTCGCGAAGGAGTGAAGAATGCCCCTTTCCTCCCGGAAGAACTGGACGACCAAACAAGACTGAGGTCGATAGGGGCATTACTAGTAATTGCTAAGGTGCTTTATTAAGTATTTTCCACGCTCCTCTCCAGTCTCTTTCCAGCCTTTGTGATTTCATATACTATTCCCGTATGCCATATCTCTTATTCAATCTTGCTATACGTCCAAGCTCGGTAGTTGGAAGCAGAACTGAGACTGGATGTGACTGAAGGAAAAGGGAGATAGGTGTGATAGGAGGGCACGGTTAAACAGGTAAGCGAAGGCTCTCTCTCTCTCGCTCTGTGGTCTTGTGTGAACTCCTTTCCGCCCATTATTGATTGTCTTCTGCCGTTCCAAGTGCTTCCCTAGTGGCATCTTCACTCATGACAGACTCAAGCATCGAGTCTTCATCGCTGTCACAGGCTACGGCTTTGCAGTCGCCCGGCGCAGGCAAGACTTCCTTTTTTTTATGCAGTTTCAGAACACGAGGGAATGTACTTTCATCCCCAGGACCGCCCGAAGTAGCATCCTTAGACACATCCTTATCGCGGGAGGAGAAGAGATGAAAGATTCATAGTTTCGAAGACCTTTCCATTGATAAGGCATTAAGGTCTTCTTTCTTGAGGTTTTATCCTTTTCATGTATAGATAGATCGTTTATTCCAAAACCCAATAAACCTGGGAAGCTACGCCGTCTTACTCAACCACATAAAAACGACAGTGATGGATGCAATTTCTAAAGTCTTGAATAAGGTCTTTGCTGGCATATTCTTAGAGTGTTCTCACAGGTTCAGGAAAGGAAGAGGGACTCAGACATTCTTTGCGCAGAGTTCTATTACTATTAATGGGTGGCTCCGCGATTTCTCTTTTGGATGTGGGGGTATCTGTAGGGCCTTACACTCACAGGCTCACTACCAGGTTTTAAGGGAATGTGGTGGTCGTGATTCCTCTTAGGAGGAAAAGGTCAGGCTAGTCGCTAAAGGCTTTGGCTTTTACTTAAAGAAAAGACTTGATCCAAGGAACTATACAAGTATGGTGGGAGGCCTAAAGTCTTTCACGTTGACCCGGCCCGACATGACGTTTGACTGCAATGAGCATAAATCTCACTCACCGGCCTAAACGACGAGCAAACACTCGAACGTGAGAGCAAGGGATCACCCAACGAATCGACGAGCTCAAAGGGGGGAGGAGAGAGGGGGGAAAGAACCATGTTTTCAGTTACATTACGACGGTGCGAGCCGAGGAAACCCCGGGCGGGTCCTTCACTCGACTAAACAGCGATCCTTCTTCCTCGCCGTCTCCTTCGCCCTTTCCGTTTGGTTTGCATTAGTCGATTAGCAGGGTTTCAGTGCTGAGTTTACATACTGGGTCTCCGAGCTGAAGAAGGTCTCCGAAAGCCCTCTTTCCTGCTTCGAGTAGAACCTATTTTCAGTCTAATGCCACATCTGACTCAACAGCTCCTTCTTCCTCTAAGAACTCTACTTTGATTCCAGCCTCAACTACTGGTGTGTAGCCGACTTGATTGAATTTCCCTTAACGAGCTACGAATCTAATATGGTTATGGGCTTCCTGCTCTAAGAGTGGGTTCCTTGCCCCTGTCTCCCATAAAAGAAGAAGAAGCCAAGACTAACTTGCAGCCTCGACCCGAGCGGAAGTGCGATGTGTCTGGAAACTCGGGATCGTAAATGGATTCGAGTACCATTCTGATCGCCTCTTTCATGATCCTTTCTATAGGTAGAACTACTGTGAGCGATCTAAACTTCGACCCTTATTTCTTTCTTCATATTATATTGAGCCGGAGTTCGTAGGCTAAGTGAACGGGGAGCAACGGCTGATCGAAAAGCGAAGATAGGCGCATAGTTCAGTGATCTACAAGAGTGGTAGAGGTCCTGATCAGGTTGTTTTAACAAGCTAGTTAGGCCAGATAGGCTAAACTAGTAGTTCGTAGTTCCCCAGGCCAGCGGGGTAGGTGCTTAGCTTGTTAGGAACCGAATTGAAAACCGGAAAAAAAGCCCTTCGCAATCGAAGGTGGAAATTCTCGTATTCCTTATGTACACGTTCCTGCGGCTCGGATGAGTATTCTTGTTTATATCGCTACGGCTATAAACACAACCTGCACATCTTATGTGCGAATAAAAGGAAGCGAGCGGAACCCTTCCCCTGTCAATCCTATTAAGATCCCAAGGGACAAAAGAGAGATTCTATCAGTCAAAAGCAGATACCGCCCGCTGTCCTTGCCATTGAAAAGAGTGCCATGGCGGCTTAAAGCTAAGAGCAGCGTCGCTGCTTGATCGGCAGGCTTTTGGTGGTCTTATTGGCGCATACCACGGATAGTAGAAAACTTCAGACTGACTATCATCGCGCGTGAAGTCCACCCAAGAGAGTTCCCCGGCTTCTCGTGATGAGCGCAGCGCAGCAAACGGTGTTTGCGCCAGAGGAGGGTGGTGAGAACCGTTGAGCCATTGGCTTGCTGAGCTTTTCTGATTTGGGTTTCTCACCCACATCACCGAGAGGAGGGCTTTTTTCGTTATAGAAAAGAAAGGTCAATGAAAGGATTCAGTAATGACGCCATGCATCACCATTGAGTGTTGTGCTGAAGAGAAAAAAACCGAAAAAAGTTCCCCACATTGGGAGAGAAAAGAGAAGACTGCGGTCAATGATCAATTGTGCACATCCTTTTTGGATGGTCGGCTTAGAGTGAAAGCATACGAACATAGACTTTGTGACTGACTTCGCCGTATAAGCATATCTTCACTGAAAGTCATTAGGGCTGCTTTTGCCCATGCCATGAATGAGAGTGAGTCCAGTCCATCTTCCTTCCCTGGATATGTTGTGTCCTCTACATTCGCTTCGTCCTCCACCTCTACTGCGCAAAGATTTTGATCCCCCGTTTAGTGAGTCGTGAAAGCACCTACCTTATGTTTAGACGTATTGGTTTCAGTGAAAAGCCAAATAGAGAGTTTTGCGTGTGCCTGCTTTAGTAAAAGTAAGGAAAAAGCTTGAAAAGCGTACTTGCTTTAACAACGGAAAGAGGTTCCTTCAGCGGTTCAGCTTTAGGTCTCGGTTCAGGTGCTTTTCATGATTGTGGTGTGTTTGATTGGGCACGGGCGTTCCTGTCCTTACTTAGAGGTCAAGTTGCCACCTGTCTATCGAAGGGGGATTTCCCAGCCTATCTCGGTATATGTTACCGAAAGAAGGAAGAAGAATCTAATGATTTCCCTAATTCTGTGAGAAAGAAAAACCAGTTTGTTAGAGCTGGGGCAGAGAAGCAATCAACAGAATGGGTCCCTGTTGTTCACAAGTGAAGGCACTGAACGGATCAAGATCTCGTAAATTCATTGTCTTTCTTGATTCAAATCAGAAAGAACTTCTTTCGCTATTGAAGCCATGCCTGAGCTGTCAGCTTATTAGCATCCCTCTTCTGCGTTAGGAATTGTCCGAAAAGGTTCGATTGAATCCCATGCTTTCATGGTCCCTATCTCTGCCCCGGCACTGGCCGACACGTAGGTCTATTCTGCGCTTTCCTAGGTGCGCATCTTCATCTACTAAAAGTAGGGGTGGTTGCCATAGATAGATTGGGTCATTCGTAACCAGAGCAATAACCGATGGACTCACTCACCTACTCCTTATCTAATACTTTCTTCTATCTACTGAATTAAAAAGGCGACCCGCCGCGCCGGGCTATAAGATAAGAGACAGCTGTTGTACTACTTGACTGGTAAGAAAGAGCTTCCGTAAGAACTGGAAGACTCTTGTATGTACGGTAACCCCCCGGCACAGGCCTACCACGCTTCGTGCCTGACTCACCTCTATTTCCCTTGCTTTGCTCCCGTTTACCACAATGGTTGTCTCGCTGTCTACTGGAGCTCGGATCCGACCCTGTCAGGGGCCCAGTTGATTCCCTATGCTCATCGGCCAGGGCCGGCTGGCCCGTAGATCTGGATCCATCCATAGACCTGACCTGATATTGTTTGTCCAAAAAGAAAAAAAAGTTGGTTAGTGAAGAAAGGATGATACCTGAAAATCTTTTGATCTTTCACCACAGATTCCAGTTTAGACAAAAGACGCGAACGGGAAAGGATATACGTCTGCAATCAAAGTGGATACTTGTTCTTGATGGTTAGGTTACCTTGTTGAGCGCCCGATAATCAATGCCCAAGGCTCCCTTTCTGGAATAAAACAAGGGCTCCCCAACCTTTTCCCCAGCAAGATAGGGAAAAAAGAGCCTTGGAGGCTGGAATATAATAGGAAAAATGACTTCCTTCAATTCTTTCCTGAGTTCAACCAAGCCCCTTAACTAATAGATGCTAGTTGGGGGGGCCATCTGCTAAACCCATCCCCACTCTAAGTAAGTTAAGGGGCTTTGGCTCCAGGCTCCAACTTGATCTTGTGGTAGACTGGCTGTCACACCCCCAAACCAAGGATGGCGGAAACGTCCGGGGGTGGAGGACTTCATGTATAGTATCATAACAACAATTGTAATAGTAATTGAAGCAAACACAACCAACATATATATAATTGAAAAAAAAGTGACATCATTGTATGAATTACATGTTTACGAATCAATTACAATATGTTGACAAAATATGAAATAGTAGACGCCTTAGCGCCCCATCCTCAAAAGCACTTGGTTACCTGTTTAATGATTTCCTGAGAATACAAGTTGTTTGAAAAAGTGTCAACACAAAGGTTGGTGAGTTCATAAGCTTTTGTTTGGTATTATTAAAAGCCTTTCGTTTGTAAAAGTAGTATTTGTGTTAGAAAATCCAATATTTTCCTTAATGTGTAAATGTAGTCTTAAAACCCAAAGACCGAAATGTACAAGTAATTTGTCATATTTATAGTAAAACAATGCAAGTTTAAATCGACATAAACTCGTTAAATTTTAATGAAGTTCCCGTAAATTCCAATGTTTATTAATACTTTATGTGAGTTTATTATAACCATACTATGACCAAGGTTGCCTAAAACGACGTTCTTCAGGCGTCGGAAATGTTATGACATTTGTCACCCCAGACCTATCGGTCTAACTGTTGCATGCAGTTTAGGTGTGGGTTTGTCAAACCCAATATAGATCTATACACAACTATCACGCTCTCCCTCAAGGAGACTCTGGTTACAATATAGGACTTAATGGTAATTTGAAGTAAATGTCTCACAAAGTCATTAACGGAATTACGTGTTATGAAAACTTGGTACCGTATGGCCGTACCTTGCTTAATGAAAATATCCTTTGTATAAATGTACCCTTTTTAAATGTATGTGTTATGTAATGTATCATAAACTATACCTATTATAGTTTATCAACCAAGGGTAGTACCTAGTAATGTATGCAAACTATATTCAAAATAGTTTATTAAATGTTTGAATGTATCGGTTGTACTTTGATTATAATCACTTGTTATTCTTTATATTTTATATGTCCAAATCCATTTGTAAACTGATGTGTGTCTAAATATTAAGATAAAATGTCATATATTGCAATAACATATAATCACATAAAGATATACACCTTGCTCAACATGTTACAAGGTGAAATGAAATTGACAGCAACTTTTCGTTGAATACAGTTTCTGTTACTGTTCTTAGAAAATTTATAGAAAAATCATCAAAGCTCTAAATCCAAATCCGCAAATTCTGAGAGTTTGGAATATGAGTCTAGTTTGTTCGTAAATTTTATCATGATTTTTAGTGATCTCTAACAGAGGTGAAAATGTTCATAATCACAGACTGGTCCGGGTTTGCCTCTGAAATGACAGGCAGTTTTGTAAAAATCACCATAAATTGTAGAAAAATCATATGGAGATGTGCAAGTAGCCATTTTAAAGCTAAGAGTTTGAACTACTTGCACCTGAAACAGTTTTGAAAACTAAAATATTTAAGTTGACCAAAACAGTCCGTGATCGAAGTTCATCTTTTCTGATGTAATCTGATAGAAAAAGTTTAATTGTGTTCTTGATGATTTTACTTGTATTCCCCCCTTAAAACTTAAGAAAAACATGTAAATGTAGGGTATGAACTCACCTTATGTGGTTTCAGTAGATGAAAGTGAGAGAGAGGAAGTATTCAACCCAAGAACACTAAGAAGATGTCTTGATGATTCGAGAATCTAACACCGAATAAGATGGAATTTGTGTAAGATATCAATGATTTGAGTAGAATGGAGTGTAATAATTATATGAATGATGAAGATACTTACTAATTGAAGAAAGAAATCCCTGAAGAAAGCCTTGAAGTTCTTGAAGTTGAGAGAAAAGATGAGAGAATTTTGGAGAGTGTCATTTGGTTGCTAAGTGTAGAATGAAAGAACTTTATGGAGAATGAGGAGAGAGGATCAATCCTCCAGCTCTTAGAACGTGGGAAGAGCTGGAGATTGGGTGTAAAGGTCCACTAAGGAGACAAGGGGTAGTGGGAAAGAGTGGCTGATCATAGAGTGAGGTGGTGGTGGTTTGCTTTTGCCATAAATTAAGGAAAAGCAAATATTCCCTCAATAATTAGTTCAACCACTAATTCTTTTAATATATTTTTATAAAACCCTGGAGATTTATATATTTTGGGGCCTTAGTTTATAAAATAAAGTTTTGGGTGAAAATCCCACGTTAAAATAATGAAAAACGGAGTTAAAACGAAGTCGTAGTCGAAAAACCGGTAAAAAGGGGCCGTCTGCGAGACCTCTCGCATGGGCTGTCTGAGAGGCTTCTCATGCGAGGCTTCTGTCCTGAGAGGCTTCTAATGAGAGGCTTCGGTCCTGAGAGGCTTCTCATGAGAGGCTTCGGTCCTGAGAGGCTTCTCATGAGAGGCTTCGGTCCTGAGAGGCTTCGGTCCTGAGAGGCTTCTCATGAGAGTTTTCGCTTCTAATAGGAGGGTTTTGGTTCCTTAAGGTTATTTTACTCGTTTTTACCCCGTTTCAAGTGGTTTTTGACCCGGTTAAGGGTCGGGATGGCCCGAATGATTACAAAAAGTTAAAGTAACTTTTGAGAGAGATTTGGGAGAGATTTGGGAGAGATTTCAAATAGAAAGAGATAGAGTGAAAACGATTTAGAGAGGTTTCGTTTGTGATTAATTTGAGTGTCCAGCTTCACAACGCAAGGTTCGTAAACCCCGTTAAACCGTGTTTTAGTGTCGTACACACTCCCGATGAGTGTGCAATAATGTTTTATCGTTTTGGTTCAATGTTTACTTAGGAAATTCAACACACGAACTTTCCAAATGATGTTTCTCATTAAGATATTGCATTGTACAGTAATTACATAGTGTAAACCCTAATATACAAGGGTTAATTGAGTCGATTGGTTTTGACTTGTTGACTTTGACTTGACTCAATTTTGACGGTTGTCACATCATCCCCCCGTTAGAAGGAATTTCGTCCCGAAATTTGCATTTGACTGGGACATCAAGAGTTTGGGAAAAGATGTGGGTATTTTTGTTTCATTTGATCTTCGCGTTCCCAGGTGAACTCCCTCGTTTAGCGTTCCAACGGACCTTCACGATGGGAATACGACTT